TCTATGATTCTATGATTCTATGATTCTGTGCCTCTACTATTATAATCTGGTGCCCAATTTGAGATGCTAAAGCTTGAAAAATATGACTTAATTCTGTTCATAGACAATCCAATTATTGGGCGCATTTGTCTTACTATTTACTTTCTGAAGTTACACTTGAAATATCTGAATATGCAATACATTAGCAATTTATGTATGCCTTTCTAAAGTTGAGTATTTGAAGATAAGTATATTACTGATGAAGCAGTAATGATATGCAAGGTAGGTAGACCTTGTATTTGGTGTGCCCATGATAATTTTTTCAGGCTTTAGGTGAAATTAAACTTATATGCCAGTTTTAAACTACATACACTTTTATGATTTAGGCACTGATGCTGTTGGCAGATCAGAAAAGAGCTGTCAGAAGTCATGGAATCATGTTAGAGCCATATGTGCACACTTTGCTTATGGCGGGCAGCTTTTTAAATAATGTGTTTGTACATAGGTTCTTCTCAAAATAGGACACAGCAGGCTTTGCAGTGTAAAGCTGTCCTATATTTTTAAGTAATAGATGTCATCAGGTGTATAAATGTGTGTCTTCTGAAAAAATCTCTACTGTGCAAGGCTCCTACATTACGTTATGCAGTCTGCCCTTAAAAGAGGTATTTTCAAGACCGCGACTAATTCAGTGAATTTGTTCCATTAATTTTAAGTACTTGGTTTGATTTTTTTAATTTTATTTTTAGATTTGATGCAACACCAAACTTTTGACAATTCCAGGTTCATGCATTAAATTTGTAGAAACAATTTTCAAAGCCCGTATTTAAGTCAGTGGGAGGGGGATTTTGTGCCCTAACTACCATTCTTTAAAAGATATTACTCTTAGCAGCTTGTACGCCATGCAGATGGTTTATGGAATAGATGTATAAACACCTTGAAGAATGTAAATCTGTTTCCTAAGAAAGCTTGCATCTGCCCACATGTCATCAGAAACTTGGACAGCTTCATCTCCTAGGAATATATGCGGTGTTGTCTTAGGAACATTCCTGTCTGAGGAAGATAGGACCACCTCTTTAGTTGGCAATTACAGAATGAAAAAAGATGTTCTGAGGAATTATCAGTCAGGACTAGATCATCAGTTAGTGCTAGTCAATCTTGCCATGTTGACTTCAGTTGTTCTTTTATGACATTCGAGATCTGACCATTATAAGATGCTAGGGGATAAGCTTAAGTAAAAAGTTTGCAAGAAAAGAATTCTAGAACCAATAAAATATTATTTATGTTAGAGATATGGTAACCTTCAAATGTTTTGAAGTACCTAGTTCCAACATTTCTTCTCATCCTTCACCTCAACAGAGCAGTTTGTTAAACTGTGAAAATATTATTTTGTCAGGATACTTATTTGGGGCACACCAGCTGCAGGCTAATTCATTGGGGATGTTGTGGAGGTGATTTGTTTGAGTTGGAACATACTGATCACTAAAATCATAATTAATTTCTGAATTTTGTCACCTGCATCCATTTCTGCTCATGGAGAATGTTTGATTACATATATATATATCTCTATGTATGTAACTGAGGTAAAAAAAGCTTCTGAACAAAGGCCTGATGAGACCTTTTGCTCAAGCCTAGGAAAAGGCAAAAAGCTACTGCAAAATTAAACAAGGTTTGAGAATGAGACATCAAGGAAAAATGGGAAGATTAATATTTTTTCAAAAAATTTAATTTCTAAATAAAATTAAAATACTTAATGTTGAAATATCTGATCAACTGCAGTGATAATACAAAAATCGAAAAACTAAAAAGTCATTTGATGTGGGGTAAAGTTCATTTACAAATCATACTGGATTGATAAAACAAAGCAATGACTAACATGTATAAATTACACCTTAGTTTGCTGGCATGGCTTCCTTTAAGAGTGGGAGCAGTTGGTATCGTGATGACAAATGAACACCAATGAAAGATAGTAGGTGTTAAAAGCATACTCTTATAAATGTTACTCTTAGCTGTCGATGCATTTTAAAGCATGACATGGTTTTCAGATGTATGAAGAATTTTTTTTTTCTTGAAGCATTATGTACATTTAATGTTTTGAAAGATTTTGTCTAGTAAGTCTCCAAGTTGAGTAAAATGCCACATGTTATCACGTGTGATATCACATATGATATTTTTTTGTCACATTAAATTGAAATGGGCTTGCATGTTCATTTTCAGCTTTCCCTTCACGCACACATATTTCTAAGTTAATGTTTCATATTTATTTTCATTTTTCCATTAATTTCTTCCTCTTCAGGTGCAATCTAGCTCCTGTGGTGGAGTTTGCTGCCGATGTGGGAACTAAATCTGATTTTATTACCATGAATCCATCAGTTGTACAAAGAGCGTTTGGAGGCTTTCGGAATGAGAGTGACAGAGAAAAATTTGTGCGTAGACTATCCATGCTGAATGACAGTGTCCTTTGGATCCCTGCTTTCATGGTCAAAGGTGGAGAGAAGCATGTGGAGTGGGTTAATGCATTAATCCTTAAGAATAAATTGAAAGTGCGAACCGCCTATCCATCACTGAGACTTATTCATGCTGTCAGAGGGTAAGTGTCTGGAAAAGACTGGTCTATCCTTGGCACAATGAAGCTCATAACTAGAATTCATACCAGGCAGAAAAAGCTCAAGTGTTAAAAGAAATATAATACTTCCGTTGTTGTAATGGATTGCGTTAATGATAAAATAAGTTTGTTTGGTAATAAATGTTATCCACTTATTTAGTCTGCTCTAATGCAACCATCTGAATCGCGTTACCACAATAACTTTTCACTATCACTTTTATATACAAAAATCTTTTATGATTATTTCAGTGATAAATTAATGAAAACAGTCTAAATTCAAAGGATATCTATGAGGACAATGAAAGTGCTCCGTGTCTTGGGCAGGACTATGGAGATAAAAACGTAAATAGCATAGCAGGTAATAGCATAGCATAGCATAGCAGATAATTATGAAGAGTGGCAGATGTGAAAATAGTGAACTTCATCCTGAAATGACTAGAATTTTGTAGCAGTCTTTCTCCTTTTGAATTTGGCCAGATGAAGAACATTGATCAGAATCACTAAAGACATTAATGTAACCAATTGTTAAAAAAAAAAAATCATCCATGCTTTGTGCAGACTTTTTTTTAACCCCATAATTAAACAATATGGTCAGATGAAGGCTCCAGTGTCTTTGTTACTAAAAGTGTATAGGGCTATACATGAAAAACAAGATGATGATAGTGCAATTATCTCTTTGTGCAGTGAACTATACTGCACAGTATGATAGTTCGAGGAACTCAAGATGACTACTATGCTGTCTGTAGGGTTTGGGAAGATGCTTGAAAGTATTGGTATTGGCTTGTTCACGAGTTACTGGTTATGTATCTGCCTAAAAAGTTATTGCTGTTACAGCAGAAGGGATAAGATCAGAGGGGATATAAAGCTTAGAAATACATTGTTCTTCAAGATATTAGGGCTTTTGAATATTCTTTTCTCCTTCTGGCATGTCTCAAATAAACTGCTGTATTTTTCATGTGGTACACTTCTGGTGCTGGAAAAAATAATATGTTCCTTTTGGAATTTGGAAATCCCATGGAAATCCATTAATTTCTTACCGAGTTGCTCAGTTTCCAAGTTGTTTGGATAGCTGTTTTGTTCTACGGTTCCACTTTAGCTGGATTATGTTGAATTTTCAAGTATTCAAAAAGTCCGTAACACATGGACAGGTGTAGTGGGTTTAGTGTGTATACATACCTTAACAAATAAGATTACTTCGAGTTTACAAACAGCTGTTCTTATTTCCGTCTACTAAATCTGGGCAAAATTACCAGATTTGAATGGTAATTCAGAACATGTAATCTTCCAACAGGTCAACTTGAAAGGTCCTTTAGGGGGCTTTGTCTTGAAAAAAAGAGCTAATGTACATTGCCTGTCTGGAAGGAAAGCACCAAAAGCTCTGCCATCAGAATTGGTGTTGAAAATTTAGACTGTACTGTATGCAAGATTATACCTAGCAATGTCGTCTGATAAAACTGCACAAATTTGTCAGGTTGTTGAGTCTGTGCTGTAAACCTTAAGTCCTCCACTTTAAATCTTGTTTAATCACCTCAGTTTCCCTTTTTTGTTCTTAGGGGAAATAGCCAAATACCATCATGTATACTTTAATGTTCTTTTCTGTAATTCAAGTAAGAACAAAACAATAAGTCTTTATGACCATGTTAACAGAGGTGACCTAGTAGAAGCCTGTGGTGCTGAAAGACAGAAAGGGTAAAATAAACAGAATGAGAAGATTGCTGTTAATTGATAAGTGTAAACAGGGTACCTGCCCATAAAAGCTGCATGTTAAAGTACTCAGTGAGACTTATAATGAGCATTTAATTTCCTTCATAGGGTTCCCAAGCATATGTGCAAGATTATGAGAATGCAAGGCTTATGCTATGTCTCTCAGCCTCTTAATCCATAAGAGGGAGATGGAGTTTGATTTATTGATGAAAGCCTGATAGATAAAGTTGAACACAAGGAGTGGTTTTTGTAGACTGTCTTACCTTATATATGCAACCTTTGTTTTTTAGATTGTGAGCATTCTTAGATAGTTGTATCTTTGTACTCAAATGTAGCTTTATTTTCATAAAAGTTTAGATCAGATAGAAGGAATATAGCATTTGCAGTCACTGTCCTGTATTAATATTTGTAACATTGCCAAACTCCTCTTAACCTCAATACAAGTAAGTATTCGCTTCTTTTGTTTCCATTTTCTTGCCTTTATAGTTCCAAAGCTTTCTGGCTTTACTCTTTATTTGAGTATGTGTATTTTACATTAAATAATAATTTATATGAAGGTAGTTAGAGTTGTTGTAAATTAGACTTTAATGATAAGAGAATCAGTCAAGAAAGCTGGGGGGGGGGGGGCTTATTGCCTTTTATGTCTTGAAACCCTCCCAAATTCATAACAACTTAAACACAGTGAGATATTTGTTAGACCATAATAGCAAGTTTGGCATAATAACAGGAGAATCTACTAGAGAACTATCCTCAGCTTGAAAGTATATTCTTACAGAGATGAATAAAAGGTTCCATTTTATATTAAATACGCTACAGGATTCCATTAAGCTGTTTCAGAAGATTTATGCACCCATGCTGTTTTTCCTGTACCTGTAGATGTGGTGTAACACAAGGTATACTATTTCTGTATCATTCAGCTCGTTGAAATGAGGCTTTTATTTGAAATGTTAATGTATTATATTGCAATTCCAAGTCTTCAGAATTTAAAAATATAAAACACACTGCTACAGGCCTGAAATCTGCCTAAAGAGAGAAGTTGTCTATCCTAAAAGGTTACAATTATAAAGTTGTTTTTATTTGGAAGAACAAACAAATTCTCAGTGTAAATTTAAATTCATATCAAGGGTTCTTTCATTAATGCACCTAAAATACGGAAATACTTGCCAGCTAAATGATTTGACAACTAAATATCAGTATGAAAGTTCATAATTCCAACCTGACATATTGAGTACTAACAGAGATGTTTAATGCTGAAGGGTGCAGCCTGATGGCCACAAGGTTTAGAAAGCATTGTCTCTGTTTCATTTTGTGTGTATCACACTGCCAAATTGTTCAGGCAAATTAGGTTTTTCCTTCGACAGTCTTTAAAGCGTAAGACATAGGCAGTTTCTAAAGACATAACATTAACTTTCTTAGACTTCTGTTCTGATTCAGCGAGGCCAAATTCTGTATTCTTATGTACTGTTTTATTTCAGAACAGCAGTTTTGCTGCAATCACGTGTGGCGCTGAAATTCTCTCCTATTTTTCCTTTTCTTTTAATGAAAGATACCTTCTGAGCATTTGGGAGTTGCTTTTGATCAGAGAGGAGAATGACTACATTCAGAAATGATTTTGAAAAAAAAAATTTTTTTCTTGCCCATTTATGCATGTTTTGGGTCATAAATAAGGTAATGTGGTGCTGGAAAAACAAATTACTTTTGTGCAAATTTCATGCCTTGTTAAACTGATGTGAGTGATGGCCACTACTCTAAAATCTCAGAGGGAATCAAGGTTTTAAAATCAGTTTATGTAAATACTAGGTCCAGCCTCATAACTACTTCTTTATCAAGAGCATGCCTTAAATGGCTGCTGAACTCAGATGTTTTCCTTCAGTAGATTTAGATCAAGTGGTTTTATGTTTTAATTTATTTTCTCTATTTTGCTTTCATATTTCTTGATCAACAAATTTGTATTTCAGGTTAGAATTTGAGAAGTGATTTGGGAGCAGTTGCATCATTTTTTCCCAAAGTGTTTCTAAAAGCTGTTTTAAGGAGATTTTAATGTAATTGTGCACATATTATTGCAAAGAGCTTAACTGATTCAAAGGATTTATTTGTTCTCTAATACCACTGCCAGGAAGGTTAATTACAATAAGTAAACCACAAAACTTTTTTTTCTTAATTGAATTTAACAACAATTTTCAGAAACTTTGATTTATTAATAGGCCTGAGATTTAATGCTGAAACCTGTCATTAGGATTAATTTTAATATTATTTCCCAAGTGCAATGATACTCTTTGAGATGTGGACAGTGTCTGTAGAGGGTCTGGTCTCAGTAGCAGAGCTCTAATGGAATATGCATTAGATAGTATGCTAACAGGAACCGAGCCTGCCTGGATTAGAGTCCGGATCTTGTTGTTTACTTCCAGTGGTGGCAGATAACAAACCCAAAGGCAGGATCTCCAAGGCAGCTTCCTGTTCAGGATCCTGCCTTGCAGTTCGTTGGAGGGAGTAGAGAGGGCTGCTGAAACTAACCATGTTGTTGGCACATCAAGACGAGGCCAGAGTTGACTCCCAGAGACTTGCACAGCTCTTCCCTGCTTCTGCTGCTGAGTATCTATCTGACTATATCTGCTGAAGTGGCAGAACACCACCACTCCCACCCTGCCAAGCAATACAGTCGTTTACAATACAGTAATTTTCTCTGAAGCTTTTTTTTTTTATGTTTCCTCTCCCAACTCCACAAAACAAAGTTCTCACACTCATCTTCATGTGCAAGAATGTTTTCTTGGCTTTTTTTTCCTGTTGGAGATATCCTGTGAACTATTAGTCACTCAGTGGCAATTATCACTGAAATGCTTCACATCAGATTGCTTCACGTCTTTTGGCTACGGAACAATCGTGTGGACATCCTGTGGGATTTGCCTGTGCTCAGCTTATTTCCTGCCTGATATTGGCTGTGAAAGAGGCAGTATTACAGTTAATTCTGCATTAAACATGGCATAATTCCCACTGAAATCTCTGCGTTTTGCGTATATAAAGAATATGATGTGCCTATTAATAGTCACTTTTCAGTGCAAGGTCTGTTTTCCTTTATTAGCGAAAGCAAACAGCTGTTGTTTGAACATAGTGACCTTTTACACAACTTCACCACCACTCCAGAATCCTTTGCTGTGGGAATTGCGGGGGGGGGGGGGGCAGAATTTAAAAAAGTC